ATTGTCTAAAGATGCATAAAATATCTTTTTATGAGAGGAGAGAACAATTATTAATTTTATGAGAGGAGAGAATAATTATTAATGCTTATCAAAAGGTAAGTAGTTTGGTAGACTTTCGGTTTTACCTGAAATCATGGCGATGCATACTATGCAAATGATCCCTAAAAGTATGCTGTTCTAACGAGCTGACGCTTTATCCACTAGATTATCCCAATTAAGTTTTAATTTCGATGTTGTTCAAAGTTATGTTAAACCTAACGTTATACTCACCTGTTCCTTGGATTTAGTTTGAACAAATTGTATTGACAAAGTGAAAAGGATCGAGTACAAGTTCTTACCCTCTCCTAAGATATTTACAATAACAATTTTTTACTTGGCATCACATTTTCGTTTATATCACCAACAATCGTTACCTTACTGGGTGCATCTGGAACGGTTTCTACACTTTGATCTGAACGTTGCCAGAAGTATAGTTGTTATACTCGGGTCTGAAAACAAAACTTACTATTAAAGGCGTTTGAGGAAATAGCTTGATCGAAATCGTTTCGTCGTGAATATTTTCTAGATCTACCATCCTTTAAAGACAGGTTGTTTACTGACATATATCATGACCCCCCTACCATAAAAGCCGTTTTGTCTTTTCTGACCGGTTCGTAGAAATTCTCCCATAAAAGATCAGTGTTGTTTACAGTCTTGGTGTGTGTCGGTATAACAGACAATGTCACATGATAAAACATCAGTGTTGTTTACAGTCTTGGTGTGTGTCGGTATAACAGACAATGTCACATGATAAAACATCAGTGTTGTTTACAGTCTTGGTGTGTGTCGGTATAACAGACAATGTCACATGATATTCAGAGAGTACATTACTCAAGTAAAGATCAGTGTTGTTTACAGTCTTGGTGTGTGTCGGTATAACAGACAATGTCACATGATAAAACATCAGTGCTGTTTACAGTCTTGGTGTGTGTCGGTATAACAGACAATGTCACATGATATTCAGAGAGTACATTACTCAAGTAAAGATCAGTGTTGTTTACAGTCTTGGTGTGTGTCGGTATAACAGACAATGTCACGTAATATTCAGAGAGTACATTACTCAAGTAGTTGAACTTTTTGCGCACACTTCGTGTATTCTAGAAGCTATTTATAATATTTTTTTAAATTCTGAATTGAAATACGAAACCTGTCTGAACTCATTACATCATAATAATCGGAGGGCGTTACTTAAGATACTTAATTTCAGAACCTCAAAACATTACCTTTCAGTGAAACAGGACGATGGATTAAACACCCCAACTGAAAGATTATGTACTCAAACGATATTGGAGATGAATTTCACTTTTTGTTTGTTTGCCCAACCTTGGCCCTAAAAATTAAAAGTATATCAACAACTATTTCTGGAGCATCCCGAATATGCACAAAATTAACCAGCTTTATCACTCTAAACAACGCTTAGGTTACGAAAGAACCATGGAAAAAACATTGCATGGAGGACTGACAGGTAAGGATTTGGGAAGTGAATACAAAAGCTACACGAAATATTATACTCTCCCAAAAAAAGAAACGCATCATGAAAATAGCAATTTCATGTAGCAGTGAATTAAAACGTGATTCATTTTACTAAAGGTTTTGCTCTGTTTATGAGTCCTATGGTGTTTATGTTTTGAAACACCACAACAAAACGCACCATCCGTAAAATACCCGTATTTAACAGCATGATTTTCAATTTCGGCGTGTACTGTCACAGAATACACAATTCACATGCAATGCACGTGAAAGTTGGGGATCAGATAGTCTCAATGATGGGTATAAAAGGTTGATCGCTGTCTGTCGATTATTCACTGTATTTGGAATATTGTTGACGAACGCAAAATGCCACGTCTAAGTGAAGCCAACCGTCATATCGCCATTGGTTTGCTTGAAGCTAGCCAGTCTCAACGTGCAGTTGCCCGACGCATGAATGTTCACCAAAGCACCATTTCACGGCTCTTGGAGAGATATCGCCGGCAGAATGCGGTAGCAGATGCCCCTCGTAGTGGGCGACCTCGAGCGACCACTGCGGCGCAGGATCGCTACATCAGGGTACATCACCTGCGTCATCGAACAGCTACGGCGACCAGTACCGCTCGACAAATACCCGGATTGAGGAGGCTTTCTGCACATGCCGTCAGGAACAGGTTGAGAGAGGCTGGTTTACGTACCAGAAGACCTTATTTTGGCCCTGTGCTTCGACAACAACATCGTCGACATCGAGTTCAATGGTGCACCATCGTTCAGGCATGGAACCTACCGAATTGGCGTATAATCTGGTTCAGTGATGTATCACGATTTCTATTGGAACGACGCGATGGAAGAATGCGGGTGTACAGACGTCGACGTGAACGTTTCGCCGACGCTTGCGTTCCCCAGGTGGACAGATTCGGCCGGGGAAGTGTTATGATGTGGGGAGCGATCACCTGCCGTAGGAGAAGTGATTTGGTGATGGTCCAGGGCAACCTGACAGCTCAACGGTACTGTGACGAAACCCTACGCCCACACCTCCTTCCAATCATTGATCGCCAAAGGGAGTTGTTTCAACAGGACAATGCCAGGCCCCACACAGCACGTCACATTAGAGACTTCCTCCAGAACCACAACATTAATGTGCTCCCCTGGCCCTCAAGATCACCGGACTTAAACCCGATCGAACATCTGTGGGATGCCCTGGACAGACGGGTGCGACGTCGTTACCCTCAGCCCCAGACACTTCAGCAACTCGCACAGGCACTACAGGCAGAGTGGGCTGCGATTCGGCAACACGAGATTCTGAGACTTATTCGTTCGATGCCGAGGCGATGCCGTGCAGTTCTGGATGCCCACGGTGGTCACACGAGGTATTGACTTCAGCGCCACCACACGTCTCCATGTGACACTCAAACTGACTTTCCTCGATTTGGTGCCAAAGACGGATAAGTCTGCATTCCCAGTGTGCAATTTCGCTATATTTCATTGACTCATAAAGCCTACAAGATGGTTCAAAATAAACATAAAAATACAGTTGAAATTCCTATATGCGTTTCATTTTGGGGAGAGTATACAATATTATTGAAACTTCCTACCGCCAAACGGTATTGTGTCAGATCATTACCCATATGACAAGTGTTGAAAACAATATGTAGTAAAAATATCCATGTGACACACTTGATAGGAAGACATAAACAGTGAGTGAGTATGGTTTTACGCCGCTTTTAGCAATATTCCACCAATATCACGGCGATGGACACCAGAAATGGGCTTCACACTTTGTACCCATGTGGAGAATCGAACCCGGGTCTTCAACGTGACGAACGGACGCTTTAACCGTTAGGCTACCCCACCGCCCCGATGTTTGTATGAACTTCTTTCAGTATGTCCTTAACAACCATTTCTGGTGTCCCCCGCCGTGATGTTGCTGGAATATTGCTAAAAGAGGCGTAAAACCAAACTCAGTCAGTCTATTTCCCTTCCGTCCATTGTTTTGTGAAGACATTCTTAAGTACAATTAGCCACGAGGGACTAATATTAGTACTGAATATTCATCCATATACATCTTAATGCGTCAGAGGACTTCTTGCGTGAGTAAATGTGCGTGAAAGTGCATATACTTGCAAAAACCTACTTACTAGTGACTTCTCTCATCCGGCACCTTGGAAGTCTCCTGTTCCTTCACTTACGCGCCCGCAGAAGCTACTGTAGTCTGTCATACAGACCCTGAAACAATATACAAATATACCCAAAGCAAGTCTAGAATGAGTGAGTTAGTGACTTTGGCTTTACGCCGCTTTTAGCAATATTCCAGCAATATGACGACGGGGGACACCAGAAATGGGCTTCACACATTGTACCCATGTGGGGAATTTAACCTCTAGAATAAGTAACAAGTCTACATTACCAGTTTCTGAAAAAGAAGAAAGTCTCTGGGCTCCTTTTTATTGTATTTCGTTAACATAATTTAAAAACGTTTTTTCTGTAAAATATGTTTATTTCAGAGACTAAATGTTAGTCTAAAGCTGCAGTCATCTAGGTTCTGAAATCAAATACGTGCAGGCATGTGCCGGAAGACTTAACTAATTAGTGGTAAAATGGGGCTGTTGTAATTAGACTCCCAATCTTACACAGTATGTCAACAAACGTTTCAAGACTGAAATACATTTAAAACATCTAGTGTTAATTAGTATGCACGTGAAACAACCTCTATTTGAAGGATATTTGGGTCATGATGTTCAGGGGCATGAAGACCTAAAGCATAAGTTTGATAAATATTGAAATTTTGATTGATTCCAGTCTTTCATAAGTGTTAATCTTTTTACGCTGTAGTGATATAACATATAAAAAACAATTTTCAAGTTTTGAAATTCCCATGTCTAATATTAGTCATATTAAACCGTACGACATACCCAGGGGCGTCTTCATCGATTGGATAGTTATATATTTTAAGATGGCATTTTTAAATTTCTTAATATGAAATGCTTCGCAAAGTTTATACAATGAATAAGTAACCACTTCAGTTGTTGAATAGTTCCAACGTCGAAGTCGAATTTCGAATTAGAGAGAAAATGAAATACTTCCATTGTATTTAATTGTTTTAGTATCCGGTTATACATTTTGACAAATCTTATTCCCGCGATTTTGATCCCCTGCACTACTGCTTAATTAACCTGAGGCATATAAGTTGTGTACTGGATTGAGATTTTAAAAAATAAGCTACTTTCTTTATTCTCATCCAAACCCTAACTTTATTTTCTCTTTACACAAATAACAAAAACGAAACAGAAATTAAAACCTAAAGAACAAAAGAAAAAGAGAAACAAAAAACACAAATTCATACTTCGCTATATTTTACCGATCCGTAAACCTGATATGACCCGGGTGTTAATCTAAAACCGGATCTACTGACCCGGACCACGGTAACAAATAGCTGCTTCGTTCTGGCTGCAACCGGTTAAAGTGGGGCATTCTCATGCCCTCATTGACAAGTGTGGAAGTCGTGTATTACCCGCTTGTTGTAATTCAAAACATGTTTCTGCCTAACGTGTTCATTCCGTGCTTGGCTCTTGTTTTAGATATACTTGCAATCGCTGCTAGTCCACCGCATATAATTTTCTTCTTGGCTGATGATCTCGGTAAGTTATTTCTGATCTGTAACATTTGATTGACTGATTGTTTATTTCAGGTTGTAATTATTGACTTCAGTGCCCGATGCACTCAAATGTGTATTGTGGTTTTTGTGTGTGTGTGTGTGTTTGTGGGTAGTTGATTTTTCATACGTATATATTTGTTAAAGATGTGTTGTTAATTTGGTGTAATGTGATAAAACATATCTTGTGTATTATTAGTTATTCTTAGTTTGAAACATGTTTTATTGTCAAATGGTATAGGCGGATATTGTGAAACTTTCATGGTTAAATGACTTAATAGTTTAATCGGAACTGAACAAAATGTGTATTAACCGTAAAATACAAATTCGAAACGGCCATATGTTTTTTTAAGTTTAAAAGAAAACATTTTTGCATGCACGGAAGAATCTACGTGATCCCTCTCTGACAGCGGACGGTATTCTATTAAAAGTCTGCAGTTAATGTCAGTAAAATTCCAATATATGAATTGATGATTTACAACTTAAAGATAAAAATTGTTGTGGCTAACATCTTGGTTTGTTGAGCTAGCTTAAGAATGATAACAAGAATGTTATTGGGGAACAGGTAGACTTTATTGCTTTGTTTAACATCACTACACTGAGTGAAACCTCATTTGCATCTACGAAAGGAGACCTTTTAATGTAAACTATCGTATTTTTTTCCCACTTTGTAACCTCGATAAATTCTATGGCAGGTCCATTATGTTTTTATACAAAATAATAACCACATGAAACTGGGTTTTAGAGGGAATGGGTCCTGGTCGAGGTTAGTGTAAATCTTACCTCGACGACAAAAACATAATATTTCCTGTATCCACAAAAAGTTCAGAGTAAAGTTTGCTTTTTGTATTCAAATTGGCTACAATATTCATTCATAGTGCATATGTGTCCCACTTCCCGAAATATATCTGGTAAAAGATGTCACCAGGTATCAACGCTAAACTCAAAAATATAATTCATGCCACAAGAACAAGTGTACATGAGATATCAATTCAAATTTGTTTATAACGTATGCGCATATAAAACATACATAACCTATATGAAATATTTCAGTACAAACCAGTGATACCTTTGGATGTAACCAAGCACTTTCTGCAGCTGGTACAATCAGAATATAATTCCACCTCAGAAACAACCATGGTCCAAGTTTACCCGCATTTGGATATCATGAACATAGGGGTAGCCTGATCGTTACAGCGTCCACCCGTTACGCCGAAGACCCGGGTTCGATTCCCCACATGGGTACAATGTGTGAAGCCCATTTCAGGTTCCCCCCCAAGTCTTGATATTGCTGGAATATTGCTAAAAGCGCCACAAAATCCTACTCACTCACTTCTATCGACTTTGTTAGCCCAAAAGTGTCTTGTTGCCTGACGTCACTGGGTTTCTGCCTGACAGAACCCCAATACATTTTAATGATGGGGGTTATTCACTGTTTTTGGCCATATATTACGTACGAGTAACCTCCATTCGGACATGATTCTGTTCGGAGTCTTAACCCCCATCACTGCTACACTTCATCACTCCATCGATAATTGGGAGGTTACCTCGACAACTTGTGGCGTAAGTGGTTATTTTTTACTATCTGCTTTGTTGACTCATCAAGTACTAAAAGTGCCACATACCTCCCTAAGACGACTACTCAAGACATTAATTAGCATCTCGGGTCACCAGATAAAGTTGCCGTAAACTTACATAACCACGTGGTATTGCCTTGTTATCACTGAGCTTATTTGTACAGTACTAAAGTCACTTGATAGCTGATCAGTACTGTCTGTTATCATCAGCCAATCACATAGAGTATCGGTACTATCAGCCAATCAGATTGCAGTATTATAGGCAGGTAGTCAGGCGATGTGAAATGTACCCAAGTTAACACACGGTAACCTGCTGTAGGAGAGCACTTTGTGCCCCGCGTAGCTCATTTGGGGGACTCAATCCACACCAGATGCCCCTTAACACTTTCAGTTTCAAGTTCCAATTGTGAGTGAGTTTAGTTTAACGCCGCTTTTAGCAATATTCCAGCAATGTCACGGCGGGGGACATCATAAATGGGCTTCACACGTTGTACCCATGTGGGGAATCGAACCCGGGTCTCCAGCATGACGAGCGAACGCTTTATCCACACCGCCCCTCGAACTGTGAAATCTATATATGTTCTGTTTCTTTTTCTGTTAATAATTACCTCTCTCGCACTCCATGAATGTGTTCGCAAGTAACTATCTCTCCCTTACACATAGCATGGGCACAATGTGTTAAGCCCATTTCTGGTGTCCCCCGCCGTGATATTGCTGGAATATTGCTAAAAGCGGCGTAAAACTAAAACTCAGTCAGTCAGCTTACACATAGACCAACAATTAGTCTCCGAAAATATATAATTTTAACAGAAACAACTCCTTTTAAACGAAAAGGACCCAGCAAACAAGGACAATTCAGAAACTGATGAATATCTAAATTTAGAGCATCACTTAGAGCTTTTGGACAACAGAATAGAAAACAATATGGTTCAGGAACTAGGTTATTTCACATTCTCTCCCAAAGTCAAAACATATATCTCATTCTTTCATACACCCCTCTCAATGTATTTCTCTCTCATTCTCTCCCATAAACAATGATACCCATGAAGATCCGGGTTAGAATTGGTCTTCAGAAACCCATGCTTTTTGTAAGAGGCGACTATCAGGTCGCTGACTTGGTTGACACGTCATCGCTTCCCAATTGCGTAGATCGATGCTCATGCTGTTGATCACAGGACTGTCTTGTCTCCATTATTTACAGACCGCAGCCATATACCTGTAATTTTGGTGAGTGCGGAGTAAAACCAAACTCACTCATTCACTTACTCACCATAAACAATGATACTTAATGTCAACGCCACTCACGCATTCATATACCCCCAAGGTGCTTCAATATTGAACAGGCCACCATCAACCATGATGTCATGAGGAGCATCCAAGTGGATCGGGTGGCCAGGCTAGGTGATATGGTTGTCCTTGACCTTGTACCATACCTCAAAGGTGTGGGTCGTTGTTCATAATGTCAGTCACTAGATTGTCTTGTCCAGAGTGAGTGAGTTTAGTTTTACGTATCGCATTTGGGAACCGATGACATGCGTGAACCGTGTCAGCGAGTCTGACCACCCGATCCCGTTAGTCGCCTCTTACGGCAAGCATGGGTTACTGAAGATCAAGCCTAACCCGGATCTTGTCCAGAGATACAGGACCGCCATACGCCCTCTCCATAGAGGCGAATACGCTTCCTAACTGACTTTCCCACTGAAATGTTGCCCGGTGACTTGTTAACTCAACGGTTTCAGCATATTGCTGATCCGACAAAATGCGTCATTCGCTCACTCACTTTACAAATCTATTCGTGACAGCTCACTCAACATAAAGAAGCCGCTGCTGGCAAATTGCAAAGCCGTATATACTTCAACGTCTGAATTCCTACAGAACCCGCTTAAATTTATACGCACCGTAAACAACCAGTTTACATCACAAAAAGTAGATCCCCCAATACGAGACCGGCTTGTTTATGCTCAACTTGTTATTCTGTAAAATCGTGCTTGTTCTGTTTTCAGTTTCTTGTCAATGTATTACCGTATGTTGTCAAGCGTCAAATACAGGCTGTTTGTGTAAACCTTTCGGAATGGAATGTTTTTCATTGTGAGAATATTTCCATCCTCCAAAACAGATCGAGTTGGTGGATGATTTAAATAATTTAGCATAAATCTCTCGTCTGAGTGTAAAACTCTACTGACTGTCTACAGGATTTGTAAACAATGTTTTAAATGCTGAAATTAATACTGAAATCCGAAACAATCTTAAGAAAAGTAATATGCCTATCAATCAAATAAATTAAATAACCTCTGGGATGAATATAGGTTCCAGAGTTCCATTCTACTTGTAAGTGGAGGCTAAATGGATCGGTGGTCAGGCTCGGTGGCTTGGTAGATTGTGATCGCGTGTCACGGTATCCCAACGACATGTATAGATGCTCGACCCGTGAAGATCCGGGTTAGAATTGATCTTCAGTAACCCATTCTTGTCGTAAGAGGCGACTAACGGGATCGGGTGGTGAGGCTCGCTGGTAATCATCACTGTACTGTTTAGTCCAGATTCGATTATTTATAGACCACAGCCACATGGATGTAATATTTTTAGGGTTAAAAATAAACAAAGTTTAATCTTATCTAACGCTTTATTCACGTTGCATATGTTATAATAGTTTCTATTTGCATGCCATGTCAAAAGAAACTATGTTTTAAATCACCAAATTTATAGCTTAGATTTACGAATATCAATGTACCACGATAACTTTACGTGGTCACCCTTATTTCTCTCATGGGTGCATGCCAGCATAATCCATTTCTCACTGTTGGCATGATTTTCGGAACTGTTAGTTCGAGGTTCGAATTTACACATACTCTCTACCCAAGTTGCAAAAGGTCTGGGTTAGGGTGAGTGAGTTTAGTTTTACGCCGCACTCAGCAATATTCCAGCTATATGGCGGCGGTCTGTAGATAATCGAGTCTGGACCAGACAATCCAGTGATCAACAGCATGAGCATCGATCTGCGCAACTGGGAACCAATGACATGTGAGCCTGATCACCCGATCCAGTTAGTCGCCTCTTACGACAAGCATGGGTTACTGAAGGTTCATTCTAACCCGGACCTTCTTCAGCAACCCATGCTTGGCGTAGGAGGCGACTATCGGGATCGGATGGTCAAGCTCGCTGACTTGGTTCGCTGAATTGGGTTCACATATAGCTGGAATATTCTTAGTGCTTTCTCAGGACAGCAAACAAAGCAACATACGTCTGTAGTTACGTTTTGTTTCTCAAATGATCACAGCGATACTATCACGCAATCGTTAAAAGCTCACTCACTTTCCAAACTATGTTATTATAACACTTGCTTCTGATCGAATTCGTTGAAACGAAACGAAATAACGAACTGATGCTAATGCCAGTGAGTCAAAATAGC